AGGCGCGCGAGCTCGACGGCTGACGAACGGGCCCCTACGACTCGCCCAAGGTGTCGGACGCGTCCCTGCGACTCGTTCTGGCTTGCCGACGGTTTCGGGGTCGTTTTCGGTGCCCGAGAGGCGCTGTTTTCGCCGACGAGAAAACGCTGCCGTCGCGCGGTCTTTTTGGCCGGACCGTCGCGTATGGTCATGCCGACGTGCGCGCGGCCCTTTAGAGCGCCGAAAACGACTCGTGTGTCGTCGCGTAAGGGTCGGTTTGGGGCTGGATTCCCTCTAGGGATCGGACGAACGCCATCCGATCGCTGCAACACCCTCACAACTGGGCGTGAAAGTTTGCTGGGCCCTTCCTTAGGCGCACCCGCCGGTGCTTACCAATTTTTCACCATAGAAACTACCATCGTCGCGCGCACTGGCCGACGGCGCCCGCCGCTCCCGGCGTGATCCCCAGCCAACTCGCTCGGGCCGCTCTCCGAGCAGCTCAGAGAGCATGTGACAAGCTTTGAGACCTTTTACAGCCGCTACAGCATGGATTCCAGCCGTTCCGCTTCCCACGCGCTCCAGATGTGTTGCGCCGACAACGCGGTGCAAAAGTAGTCGCGCGAACGCGGTCGCGCGCGTCCGAAATCGGCTCAAAAGGGATCGATTTGCGACCATACCCTACGATCCTAGACTTTGCGCGAGTTCGGGCGTGCCAGGAGTCGCAGGGGCGTCGATCGTGTCCTATCGTAACCCCATCGTCGCGCTGCGCAAGCGGTTCCGCGTCTTGGCGTCCGTCGGCGTTTTGGCAGCGTTCGCGGTCGTGTCGGCGTTTCGGCGCTCGTCTCGAACGCGCGGCCGCGGAGTCGAAACAGTCCCCGAGGGTGTTCTCGCGGTTCAGTCCGCTCGAGGCGTGTATGGAGCAGACCGCGGTAACAAAACGGCTCTCTATGATGCCACGAGCGGCTCGGAGAGGTGGGATCGACACGATTTGAGCATATATTCGTCGAGAGCGCGACCGCCGCGCGCCCGCGCGCCCGCGATTCGCTGGAAAAAAGTAGTCAGGCCCACGCGTTGGGTCTATGCGCCGCGCGTCACGGCTTTACCGCGCTCAAATCGACGCGGTACAGCCGCCGTCTCGGCCAGACGGCGGCGGCGCCAGCGGCTGAAACAGGCCAAAAGGCAGTGCAGAGGGCTCGATGCTGCGGCGTTGCGAGAGCGATGCTCACGCTATGCGAGGCTACGCAGCCCCTGGCGCGCCCGTAGCGTTGGACTAGCGTCGCAGCAATCCTCCTGTGCGATCGCGATGGCGAGCGCTCGCGCCGTCGTGCGCCGCGTGCGTGCGCTGCGGCCGCGCCGCGACCTCGGCGTGCGTGCGCTGCGGCCGCGCCGCGACCTCGGCGTGCGTGCGCTGCGGCCGCGCCGCGACCTCGGCGTGCGTGCGCTGCGGCCGCGCCGCGACCTCGACGAGGCGGCCATGCTGCAGAGCGCCGAGCCCGTCCTGCTCTGCGCGACGGTCGCCTGCACGCGCCACTGGCCCGCGCTCGCCGCTGTCGCGGAGCTCGGCGTGCGCGGCTACCTCGCGCGACTCCCGACGACCGTCGACGTCCGCGCGGCGGCCGACGTCGCGGCGCGCGGCGGCGCGCCGGACGCGACCCGCGGCGCCGGCGTCGCGCCGGGCGCGCTCGCCCTGTCGCCGGAGACCATCGTCTTCTCGACGGCGCGCGACGCGACGTGGCGCGCGCTGCGGCCGCCCCTCGAGGACGCGCGCTGCGCGGCGCTCCGGGCGAACTCGCTCCACGGCGTCGTGAGCGTCGCGGGCCCCGGCGGCGGGCTCGGCTACCACCGCCACGGCGCCGCGTGGCTCGCGCTGCTCGGCGGCGAGAAGCGCTGGCGCCTGCGGCCGCCGTCCGCGCGCGGCGCCGCCGCGCCGCGGGAGGACGACGACGACCAAGGCGCGCTCGAGGCGGTCCAGCGCGCGGGCGACGTCCTCTGGGTGCCCGCGGGCTGGTGGCACCGCACGCTCGCCGGCGGCGGCGACCTCGCGCTCGCCGTCGGCGGCCTCGGCGCGTCGCCGGGGTTGATGTGGGCCTGCTCGGAGGGCCTCCTCGGGCCGCTCGAGCGCGCGCCGCGCGAGGCCCTGGACGCGCGCCACGGCCGCGCGCGGTCGACGCTGTTGCACACGGCGGCGTACCACGGTCATCGCGACGTCGTCGAGTTCCTCCTCGACGCGGGCGCGGCCGGCGGGCCGGGCGCGCGCGACGCGGCCGGGCTGCGGGCGATAGACTGGGCCCGCCGCCGCGGCCACGGCCGCGTCGTCGACCTGCTCCTCGCCCGCCGCGGCTCGCCGGCCGTGCTAAGCTAACGTCACGCTACGCGCCGGGCGACCCACTCTTCGACCCGCTGGGGTGGCGTCGTCCGTTTAAAGCATTACGCCGCGCCCCCGGGCGCGTCCGGGCGCCCGAACCTACGACGAGGGGAACTCGGCGTCGTTGGACTGGATGATGCCGACGATGATGCCGAAGATGCCGAGCGCGGACGCGAAGATCTCCACGATGAGGATCTTGACGAAGAGGCTCGCGTCCTGGGCGTCGGCAAGGGCGCAGGAGCTCCCGGCGATGCCCACGGAGATGCCGCTCGCGACGTTCGTGAGCCCCACGGACATGCCGGAGGAGAAGAGCGCGTAGCCCGCAAAGTACCACTGGTTGTAGTTCCAGTCGTCGGGCAGGCTGCCGGACTTGGTCTCGCCCCCGTCGCCGATCTTGCTCAGGAGCAGGATGGCGAGGATGACGCCGTAGATGGCCGTCGCCTCGCAGAAGATGACGGAGATGAGGTTCTTGCTCCGGATGCGCGGCGCCTTGACGGCGGCGCCGACGAGCGACGACCCCGTGAGCCAGATGCCCCAGGCCGCGCCGACGACGCTCAGGCCGAGGCCGAAGGCGATGCCCATGTAGGCCCAGCCGTAGGGGCTCAGGTTCGTCAGCACCTCGTCGTAGGACGCGTTGCACGCCGCCGCCTCGCACTCCTGGTACCCGTTCGACGACATGGCCGGGGGGCGCGGGCGCGGCGCGTCGGTCGCAGCGCGCGTCGAGGGCGACGCGACCGAGCGGCGGCGCGGGGCGCGGCGACGAGCGGCGACGAGCGCGTCCACCTCTCGTGCGGCTGTGGCAGCACGTCGGCAGCTCCAGCGCGATGTCGCCGAAGTTGAGGCAAAAGCTGACATTCGGCGCCCGTCCTCGCAAGGGGATATAAATCTAGATGGGGTGGCAGGCGAAACGCGAGGTCCTCGTACTACTCGGGGCCGCCGCTAGCGTTTTCTTTCTTCTTCCACGCCGCAGCGCGCGGGCTGAGTGCAACGATGGCGGGTCGCGCGGCGCGGCGCGGCTGCGGAACCCTTCGACGGGGCGGGGCAGCGAATTTGGGCTGCTGAGATCATTGCGTTGGCTCGCGAGCGCGACGGTTGTTCGGCGGCGGGACGAGAGGGCGGCGGTGTGAGTCAAGCTGTGCGATATTTTCTTGTCCTTAGAGGTTGGAGGCGCCCTATGGGTACCCGCGGGGGGCTCGAACTCCTTCAGGACACACTTTTCCCACGATCTCAGAGCCTGCGCAGCCCCGGCGCCGACGCACACAGTTTCTCGGGCAGCGTGCGGGCATTCGAGGTCGAGAACTTTTCGTGTCCTGAGATGCTCGAGCCCATCCATAGGTACCAACGAAGGGCTCTGCAGCGGCAGCAGACGGTCCACGACCATCATCATCGCGAACACGTCCAAGAGCTGCCCCAAAACCCCCTTCCTCGCGTGGCGCCAAACCGGACACGGTGCCCTCCAGCGCGCCTCGGTTTCCTTCCACCGGACCCGAACCGCCCGGACGCGTAAGTCTTGTCGCGGGCGCCTTCGCGGGGGAGCGAATACCGCTGCGGTCCGTCTGGGGCCGCGTCGACGACGGCGGCGTCGAAAAGTCCCCGGCCAAAAGTCGTCAACATTGCCCCAAAACGATGGGTTGCAGTACGAGGAGCTCGCGCAACATAATCTCGTTGAGCTGCCCCATACTATTTATTACCCCTTGGTCCTCGTCTGGCATCGATCGCGACGTGTCGCCCCAGTCCGTCGACGAATCCGTCGTCTGCCCGACCCACACAATGTCCCAGTTCGAGAGCGGCGGCTTCGACGACTTCGCGCCGCCGCCGCGCGGCGGCTACGGGGCGCCGCCCCCCGGCCGCGGGCCGCCGCCGGGCGCCTACGGCGCGCCGCCGCCCCGGCACTACGGGGGCTCGGGGAACATGACGGCGGGCATCCCGCGCGTCGGCGCGGCGCACGCCGGCCAGCGCTTCGGCGGCGGCGGCGGCCTGCGCCCGAGCGCGCCGACCTGGGTGCCCGACGCGTCCGTGACGGGCTGCTCGAGCGCCCACTGCGGGACGCAGTTCGACACGTTCGAGCGGCGGCACCACTGCCGCTACTGCGGCCTCGTCTTCTGCGGCAAGTGCACGGAGGCGACGAGCCTCATGCCGCCCCAGTGGGAGGGCGGCTGCGGCTTCTCCACGCGCGACCCGCAGCGCGTCTGCGGCCAGTGCCGCCTCGAGCTCGAGCCGCACCAGCAGAAGTGGATCGAGCAGAACTGCAACGCGAACCGGACCAACGCACTGGACCTCAACGACTCGACGACGCGCTACCTCAACAGCCCCCTGCGCTTCACGCTCGGCGGCGAGGTGCGGAAGGCGGGCTCCGGGGCGGGACACGCGCGCGAACTTCCCGACGTCAAAGGCTGTTCTCTCGGCCGCGTGCCACGCGTTTCGGCCGATGTTTGGACGAGCGATCATCATCTCTCGGAACGGCCTCGACGCGTGGATGCTTTTTTCCGGAACGCGCGCGCGCGGAACGCTCGCACGTCGAATCGCTCGTCTCCCGCGCAGGCGGGCTACGCGCTCAAGAACCTCACGGACGGCGTCAACGTCTGGGACCGCGACCTCGAGTACTTCGACCAGCAGCTCCAGGGCGCCGACGGCCTCCTGTTCCTGACGGTGGCGAAGGTCGCGTTCATCTCGGGCATCCGCGTGGGCACGGGCCTCGTCGTCGCGCGGCTGCCGGACGGGTCGTGGTCCGCGCCGTGCGCGGTCGGGTCGTCGGGCTTCACCTTCGGCGCGGTCGTCGGCGCGGAGATCACGGACATGATCACGGCCGTCGACGCCCAGGCGCTCGCGGAGCTCTACGACGCGCAGACGACGAAGCTCACGTTCGGCGGCGAGGCGTCGTTCGCCTTCGGGCCGCTGGGCCGCACGGCGACGGGCGAGGCCATGGTGGCCACGGACGCGTCGACGGCGACGGCGACGGCCTACAGCCAGAGCCGGGGCTTCTACGGCGGCGTGACCGTCGACGCGTCGCACCTCCGCGTCCGCGACGACGTCAACCTCAAGTTCTACGGCAAGCCCGTGTCCGCGGCGGACCTCCTCCGGGGCGCCGAGCGCCAGCCCACGGCCGCCGCGCCGCTCTACGAGCAGCTCCACGCCTTCTACTCGACGATGAACGCGCGCCTCGCCGCGGCGACGGCGACGAACGCGCCGTCCTACGCGGCGGGCGGCCAGCCGCCGCCGCAGCCGCCGCCGTCCTACGGCCAGCAGTACCAGCAGCCGCCGCCGCCGCAGCAGTACCAGCAGCAGCCGCAGCAGTACCAGCAGCCCGCGGCGGCGGCGTCGTCGACGTGGTCCGCGCCGTCGTGGAGCACGCCCCAGAGCCAGCAGTCGACGAACGCCTGGGGCGGCGCGGCGCAGCCGGCGAAGCCCGCGTCGGGCGGCGGCGGCTTCGACGACATCTTCGGCCCGCCGAAGCCCGCGGCCGGCGGCGCCGCGGACGCGGGCGTCGTCGAGGTCTAGGCTCCCCCCCCTTCCCCGCGCCTTTTACTCGTCGTCCGAGTCCGGCGGCGGCTTCGTCGCAGGGAAGATCGTGTGGACGAGGCGCCGGTTCGCGGCGAGGTCCGGCGGCCGCATCTTCGTGTTGAGGCCGCCGAGGCCGAGCGCCGCGGCCTCGAGGGACGCCGGGTCCGCGAGCTCCGTCTTCCGGAGGACGATGTTGAGCTTGCGGTTGCGCCAGAGGGCCGCGAGGCGCGAGTAGGACGACCAGAAGGAGCCGAGGATCTCGCCGCAGGCCGCGAGCGCGAGCAGGTCGACGAGCGCGTCCTGGCAGCCGTCGACGCCGACGCGGTTCGCCTGTGCCGAAACCAACCACTGGTTTGGGTGGTCCTGACCAAACTTGAGAATTCTCTAGCTCGGTCAAATCGAAGTCGATTCGGCTGATTTTTGGACGGATCGATCGCTCTCGTCGAGTTCTCGAAGCCCAGCCGAAGAACTTGTGTCAAAACATTCGAATACGCTCATATTGAAGTCGGGTTGAAGATTTGGTTTCGGCACAGCGGTTCGCGTAGCCGTCGACGGCCGTGCGCTTCGCCGACGTGACGACGTCGATCTTGCCCCGCCAGGTCTCGAGGAAGGCCGCCTCGACGGCCGCGTCGTCCGTCGCGAGGTAGATCTTCGACGGCGGCGCCGGCCGCGCGAGGCGCGCGGCGACCCAGTCGTCGAAGAGCTCCGGCGGCGAGTGGATGATGGACGCCGCGTTGTCCGTGCGGCGCACGTGGACCGCGAGCGCGCCGTCGAGTGCGGGCACGCGCGCCGCGACGGCGTCGATGGGCTCCAGCGTCCTCAGGTACGCGGAGCGGAACGCCTCGATCGTGTCCGCGTCGTCTTTCGGGTTGTTCGCGGGCGACCGCGTCGCCAGGAGCTCGTCGACGCCGCAGCAGGGCCCGCCGTCGCCGCCGAGGTCCTTGGCGCCCGGCGGGTAGAAGAACTCGTCCGTCTCGAGCGCGACGACGTCGACGTTGCCCGCGACGCCGACGTTGCCCTTGGCCGCGCGGCGGGTCAGCTTCAGAGCCCTGCCGAGCTTGTCGACGTCCCGGCAGACGCGGCCCGCCTCGCAGGCCTTGGCGAACCGCTCCGCCGTGACCGACGCCGTCCGCGTCTTGAGGCGGTCCGCGTCCGCCTCCAAGACTTTCCTCGCGAGCGTCGCGCGGACGCCGACGTCGGGGACGGCCGCCGCGACGTCGTCGAGCGTCGCCTTCGAGAGATCCAAGGACCCCAGCTCGACGATGCGCGGGTGGGGCTTGAACAGGTCGGAGAAGCGGCAGCCGCAGGCGACGTCGGGCACCCAGTCGAGCGCGATGCGGATCTCGCCGGGCGCGTAGCCGAGCGCGCGCTCGACGTCGTCGACGTAGAAGAGCGCCGCCGTCAGCGCGCGCAGGCGGTTGCAGAGGCCCTGGAGGGGCTTGAGCAAAACGAAGCGCAGGCGCCGCACGCTGCCCGCGGCGTACGCGGGCGCGTGGACGAGCTCGTGGCGGCCGCAGGCGTCGCAGTGGTAGCCGTCCGCGGCGATGCGGAGGCCGTTCTCGGCGCAGCGGCGGATCGTGAACCGCTTGCAGTCGTCGCGGCCGTGGCAGCAGGGCCCGGCCTCGGGGGGGACGGCCCTGAAGCCCACGCGCGTCGGCGGCGGCGGCGGCGGCGGCGGCGCGGCCGGCGCCGGCGCCGCGCCCGCGGGCCGCCGCGCCTCGAGGACGACCTGATCGCGCGTGAAGAGCGTCGACACGCACCGGGCCGCGTCGAGCTCCTCGAGCGTCCCGTTGGCGTTCCTCACGGAGAGCACGAGCTCGTCCTCGGGCAGGTAGGCCCCGCGCTGGCGCGACATGACGTGGCCCTCGAGCAGCTTCATGACGGCGCTCAGCGGCTTCGTCTCCCACTTCGCCGGCAGCTTGACCTTGAGCTCCATGTCCGGCGCGCCGCGCACCTTCGCCGTGCACGTCACGTCGCGGACCATTTTTTTCGTGCGAGAGGGGACCTAGGCGAGGCGAAGCCCGCGCCGGATGGAGCCCATACTTATGGATAAGGCGAGCTTCAACACGCGATTAGTGCAGTTGTACTTGAACGGGCGTTTTCCGCTCTCGCGACGAGGAAGCCTCCTGGCAGCGGAACGTGTGGAGCCTAAAATCAAAGCCAAAGCACACTCGCTCGAGCAACACCACCATGATCTTCCCCGCCGAGCTCTTCATGGCCCTCCACGTCTTCACGGCCTACCTGCTGGCCTGCCCCTTCCCGAAGAAGTACCTGGCGCCGCTCATGGCCTTTGGCGTCGTCCAGGGCTGCATCGAGCACTACGCCGACGCCCTGCCGACCCTCGCCGCGGCCGGGCCGCCCCTCGTCCTCGTCGCCATCGGGTTGCTCGGGCTGCACTACAAGTTCGCCTACGCGCAGATGGCGTCCAAATCCCAGTGCCTCGCCGGCCTCGTCGGCTACTTCGCGATCCTCGGCGTCTCCAAGGGCTTCGAGCTCGGCTTCCCCAAGGACACGGGCGCGGAGCAGATCGTCGCGCTCCAGGACGAGACCTACTCGCTGCACCACCTCGCCCTCCACGGCTGCCTCGTCGCCAACCTCTCGCTCACGGCCTTCGCCAAGGCCGCGCCCGCGGCCAAGGCCGCCGCGCCGCCCGCCGCGCGGCCCTTCGCGGCCGACGGCACGGCCGTCGGCGGCGCCAAGGAGGACTAGGCGAGAAGCGCGCGCCTAACTGCCCTGTGTGTCCCGCTTGCGACCTCCGAAGGGGCCGCGCGTAAGTCCGGGAGCGCGGGACGGGCTCGCGGACACGGAGCTCCACCGCGCTCGCCCGGGCCGCGCGACCCGCGCCGCGCCGCCCCCGCCGCCGCCGACTCGTCGGGGTCGATTGCGACGTGTTAGTTCGAAGCGGCCCCCCCGCGAGGAGGGGCCGGCTCGCGCGTAGCGGTGACGCGGCTGACCGCGGACGGGTCGCTGGCCTGATCGCTCAGGTGCCGCGCGACGTGCGCTCGAGCGCGCGCGCGGTGCGCGCTCACTTCTCCTCCGCGGCCGCGTCGGCGATGGTCACCTCGACCTCGACGCCGGCCTCGATGGGGATCGACGTGATCTGCTTGACGATCTCCGACGGCGAGTGGAGGTCGATGATGCGCTTGTGGATGCGCATCTCGAAGCGGTCCCAGGAGTTGGTGCCCTCGCCGCAGGGCGACTTGCGCGTCGTGATGCGGAGCTTCTTCGTCGGGAGGCGGACCGGGCCGCTCACCTTGAGCTTCTTGTCGAGGGCGCCGCGCTTGAGGTTGGCGCAGACCGTCTCGAGGTTCTTCACGTTGCGCGACGTGAGCGTGATGCGGATGCGGTGCACCGTGTCCTGCTCGAGCGCCTTGGTCTTCTCGGCGGCGGTCTTTTCGAGCTCTTCGAGGGACGACATGGTTGGTGTGGCCTAAGGGGTTCTTCGGGTGAGCGGTGCTGGTCGTCCGCGCGGCGCGCGTAGCCCCCGGCGCCCCGTCTCGCGTCGCGCGCGACTCTCCGTCGCGTCGGGGCGGCCGCAGCGCGTCGGCGACCGGCGCAGAGCGTCGGGCGCGTCTTTCGGCGCGCCGTCGCGTCCGCCGCGTCGCTCCGATGCGCTGCTGCCGGGACACTCTCGATTGCGGCTCTCGGAAGTCTCGGGGGGCGGCAGGGGGCGGCCAAAGGCGGACGCCGGCGCATGCCGCACGACTGTAGCAAAGTGGATGGGCGAGTCCTCGCCGAGCGGCATCACCGGCTCGCGTGGGTTGCTTGCCGTGCAACACCGACCTTTTTGGCTAAACTCAGGCCATCTACGAGGCCATAGAGCGCGTCTGCTGAGCCGCTCGCGCACGTCTGGGCGTGAAAACGTCTTGCAGGAGCCCCACCAGCATCGCTGCACCGCGTGCGCCAAAAAAAAACACGCCACAAAACAAACACGCCATGGGCCAGCTCCTGCAGCGCCTCTTCGGCGTGCTCTCCATCGCGACGCCGACGGCGACGCTGCGCATCGCCAAGACCGGAGGCCGCCGCATGAGCATCGCCAGGAACGGCGGCCGCCACGCCTCGGTCCGCGGCAGACGGTTCCTCGTCGTCGGCGACGTCCACGGCTGCCGCGACGAGCTCGAGCTCCTGTTGGCGAAGGCGGCGTACGACGAGACGACGACGCAGCTCGTCCTCGTCGGCGACCTCGTGAACAAGGGCCCGTACTCCGCGGGCGTCGTCCGCTGGTGCCGCGAGCGCGGCGCGCTCTGCGTCCGCGGGAACCACGACGACCACGCGGTCGACCACTGGCAGAAGCACTTCCACCTGGGCCTCGCCGTGCCCGGCAAGTACGCCTACGTGAAGGAGCTGAGCGCCGCCGACGGCGCCTGGCTCGAAGCCCTGCCGCACACGCTGTCCCTGCCGGACGTCGACGCGATCGTCGTCCACGCGGGGCTCGCGCCGGACGTGCCGCTCGACGGGCAGGAGCCGAAGCACATGACGCGCATGCGCTCCCTCTCCGACGGCGCCCCCTCGGACGCGCCCGGCGCCGCGTCCTGGGCGGCGACGCGGCGCGAGCGGCCCCTCGTCGTCTTCGGCCACGACGCGAAGCGCGGCCTGCAAGTCCACGCGAACGCCGTCGGCCTCGACACGGGCTGCTGCTACGGCAAAAAGCTCACGGCGCTGCGGCTCGCGGCGGGCGAACCGCACGCCTTCGTCGCCGTGGACGCGCTCCGCGAGTACGCCAAGCCCGGCGGCTAAAATTTCTAGTACCCTAGCGCGTTCTGGTAGTCCGCCTGGGCCTTCTCCGCGCGTTTCGTCGCGTCCCTCGTCGACTTGCGGCGGTACTGGTCGAGTTTGCGGTTGTCCATGCGCCGCGCACTGCCGTAGGTCGCGGCGATGACCGTCGCCGCCGAGTGCGCGCGCGCGAACCCCTCGGGCCGGCCCGACCCGCTCCGGGCGAGCGGCCGCGCCGACGCCTCGGGCGTCACGCGGAAGGACCGGACCTCGTCGCCGGCGCCGAGCGTCGGCGCGTCGTCGCGCTCGTTCCTGTCCGACGAGCAGAAGCAGGCCGAAGGCCCTCGTCGCCGCTCTCGTAGCCGGAGACGTCGCGGAAAAATTGGTTCGTCGCCGGGAAGTACTCGTCGCGCGGCGGCGGCGGCGGCGGCGGCGGCCGGCGGCGCTCCTTCTTCTCGCGCTTCTTCGCGGCCTTCCTCGCGACCCGCTTCGCGACCAGCTTCGCGCCCACGAGCTCTTCGATCCCCGCCTTCTTCCGACGGTCGCGCGGGCCGACGCACGGCGTCAGGCCCGCCTCCCTCAGCTGCGCGCGGAGCGCCTCGATGTCGTCGCTCTGCGCGTCCGCGTGGCGCCCGTTCCCGTTCCCGCTCGCGGGGCGCGCGGCGGCGGGCGCCGCGTCGTCGCCGGCGCCGTCGCCGAAGCGGTCGTCGCCCGCGCGGCGCGCGGCCTCGGCGCCGATCTCGAGCTGCCCCGGCGCGGAGCTGCCGTGGCGCAGGCGGTGCCGCGTAAGCCGCGCCTCCTCCACTTCCCCGGTCACGGTCCGCTCCGACATGCCCTCCTCCACTTCCCCGGTCACGGTCCGCTCCGACATGCGAAGGCCGTCGCCGCCGACAGGTTCGCTTTTCGAGTGCTCGATGAGCCTGCGTCGAAAAGACACGCTCTTCATCGCGTTTGTGTGTCGAGTCGCGGTCTGGGTTCCCTGGGGCGGCCGCGACCGCGCGGGCGGAGAGCTCGTCGAAACTGTGGAGACGCTCGAGAGCTGTGAAGCCGATCTCACGGGGCCGATCTCTGCACCTTCGAGGGATCTTGCGAAGCCCTGCCCGCCCGGCCTCGCCTCGCCTCCGCTCTCGGGCTGCCTCGTCGTCGTCGAGCGAAGCACGTCGACCACGACGGCCAAGACGGCGCCACTCGTCGCGCTTCCGGCGAGCGTGAGCTCGCGCGCCCCTCGTTGACGTCGAGGTGAAGGATTCAAGGAAGGCTGCCCCAAGGTGAGACGATGGCGCTGGGCCGCGGCTTTGGCAAGCGGAACCGGAACCCGTGGGTGGCCATCCCGCGGTCCATCCTCATCGCCTTCGTCATGTCGAAGATCGTCGGCTTCTTCGCGCCCGAGGCCGAGCCGCGGCCCGGCGACGCCGTCGCCATCCCCACGGCGCTGGGCCCGCTCACGGCCCAGGCGCTCGGCGACGCGCACGACCCCGTCGTCGTCGCGGTCAACGGCATGGCCGCGGCCGTCGGCGACGAGTGGGACCGCGTCGCGCGCGCCGTCGCGGCGTCGCGGCGCGTCGTCGTGCCCGACTTCCACAGCAACGCGAACACGGCGCCCAAGCCGTGGATCTTCGGCGTCTCCGACGGCGACGCGGAGCGCGTGCTCGCCGACGTCGTAGAGCACGCGAGCCCGTCGCGGCCCGTCGCGCTCCTGGGCAAGTCCTGGGGCGGCGCGCTCGCCGCGCGGTACGCCGCGGCGCACCCAGATCGCGTGAGCCGCCTCGTGCTCGTCGCGCCCGCGCGGTCCAACGCGACCGTCGCCGCGGGCCTGACCATGCCGACGCTCCTGCTCTGGGCCCGCGACGACGCCATGGTGCGCGTCCACAACGCCGACGCCTACGCGAAGCACGCGCCCAAGCTCACGCGGCACACGGTCCGCAAGGGCGGCCACCGCGTCCTCGACGAGTACACGGCCGCCGTGCGGGACTTCGTGCTACAGTGAACTAAGGTGCTCCGGCGGCGGCCAGTAGGGCAGGTGGTCCGGGTCGGCCCCGCCCGCGCCGTCGAGGTCGTCGACCCAGCCCGCCCGCGCGTCCGGGAAGCTGTCGCAGTAGGGCACGTAGGGCTTGATGTCGAGGATGGGCGTTCCATCCAGCAGGTCCAAACCCTGGACCGTCACGGTGAGCGCCGCCTCGTCGACGGCGAGGACTTTGAGCGCGCTGAGCGCGAGCTGGCTCGGGCGATGCGGCGCGCGCGTCGCGAAGACGCCGTGCTTGGCGTCGCGCGGGCCCCGCGGCGGCGTGATTTTTCGGCTCCAGCCCGTGTTCATGTGCATGTGGGCGACGACCCAGCAGTAGTCGAAGCCCGCGAGGCCGCCGAGCGTGCCCGCGAGGTCCGGTCGGAGCTCGATCGTGCCCACGAGGCCGCCGCCGCCGGCCGTCTGGCTGCGCACCGTGGGCTGGCGCGGCGTGCCGAAGCGCTCCGTGTAGGGCGACCGCACGACGCCGATGGGCTCGAGCGCGATGGACGCCGGCGTCGCGACGCGCGACGTGTGGTCGAGCGGCGGCCGCTCCCGCAGGTCCTTCCGCCGCGACGCCGTCGCGAGCTGGCCGCAGGCCGCGGCGTCGTCGGCGCCGCGCTCCGCGCGCTTCGAGGACCAGACGCCGCGGTCCCGGAGCCGCGCCTGGAAGGCCTGGACGGCGTCGGGCGCGGGGGGTTCGAAGGACGGGTCGACGGACTCGTTCGCGTTGTAGGGGATGAGGTTGACCAAGACGCCCGTGCGCCCGCCCGCCGTGCCCGTGCAGGCGGCCTCGATCGGCTTGACGAAGGCCGCGATGGCGTCGGCGTCGCCCGGCCCGTCGTTGACGCCCGCGATGAGCACGACCTCGAGGACGGCCTTGCGCCGCTTCTCCGGCCGCGCCTCCAGCGCGCGGACCAGCCCGTCGCGGAGCTCCGCGGCCGAGTGCTTCGCCGTCGGCACGAGCGTCCGTCGCAGCTCCTCGTCGGCGCTGTGGAGCGACCAGGCGACGGCCGGCGCGTCGGCGTAGCCGAAGAGCTCGGCGAAGACGCCCGGCGCCGGGCCCACCGTCGACACGGTCACGCGGTCCCGGCCGTAGGCGAAGCGCGCGCCGTCGACGAGCGCCGCCACGGCGTCGCGCACGGCCCCGACGTTGTCGCCGGGCTCGCCCATGCCCATGAACACGACGTTCCTCGGCACCGGCAGCCGCGCGGCCCGCGCCGCGGCCGTCGCGAGGGCGATTTGCGCGAGGATCTCGACGCCGCTCAGGCTCCGCGCGAGGCCCATCTTGCCCGTGGCGCAGAAGGCGCAGGCCTGGCGGCAGCCGACCTGCGACGACACGCAGACCGTCGACTTGGCGCGCGCGTTCTTCGCGGGGCCGCCCGACGGCGGGATGACGACGGCCTCGACGTCCGCGCCGTCGGCGAGGCGCACGAGCAGCTTGAGCGTGCCGTCGGGCGCGCTCACCGACTCCTCGATGGCGGCGACGTCCGCGGTTACTCGAGTCGCAGTCGCCATGTCGCCCTTGCGCAGGGCCTGCCACGTCGCGCGCGTCTCGGCGCTGCGCGACGGCGTGAGCAGCGCGTGCGTTGTCATTGGTAGAGATGTCGGCGCGTGCAACGCGGCAGCGTAGGTCGCCAGGGTCGCCAGAAGAACGCGCATTGAGGTCACACCTCGCCTCGTTGCCACAGCAACCACGACGCTCTCCGACGCCACCATCGACGTCGTCGTCCACCGATGCTCGCGATCCGCCGCCGCCTCTGCCTCCTCGTCGCGCTCATGGCGAGCCCGGCCGCGGCGCTGAGGCGCGTTGTTGTCACGGGCGCCAACAAGGGCATCGGCAAGCAGATCTGCGCGCGCATCCTCGCCGACGTCGCCGACAGCTTCGTCTACCTCGGCGCGCGCGACGCGGGCCGCGGCGCCGCGGCGGTCGCGTCCATCATCGACGCGAACCCGGCCGCGGCGGGCCGCGTCGAACTGCTGGAGATGGACACGACCGACGACGCGTCCGTCGCCGCCGCGGCCGCCAAGGTCGACGGCCCGCTCCACGGACTGTGCAACAACGCGGGCGTCGGCTTCGGCCGGTCCATCGAGGAGACCCTGGCGCCGAACTACTACGGCGCCAAGCGCGTCTGCGCCCACTTCCTGCCGCTCGTCGACAAGGCCGACGGCCGCGTCTGCAACATCGGCTCGGCGTCGGCGCCGAACTTCGTCGCGCGGCTGACCCCGGAGCTCCAAGAATTTTTTACGTCATCGTCAACGACGCTCGCGGCGCTCGAGGCGAAACTCGACGAGTACGCGGCCGCGCCGGACTACGAGGGCGTCGCCTACGGATTATCGAAGGCGTCGCTGCACGTGCTCACGATGAACCTGCAAAAGGAGCACCCGGAGCTCCGCATCAACACGGCGTCGCCGGGCTACGTGCTGACGGACCTGACGGCGGGCATGGGCGCGTCCAAGACGCCGGAGCAGTCCAACTGCCACGTCGCGCCGCTCCACCTCCTCTTCGGCGCCGCGGACGACGTCGCGCGCGGCTGGTACTACGGCAGCGACGCGGTCCGCTCGCCGCTCGACCGCTACCGCGGGCCGGGCGAGCCGCCGTACCTCGGGGACTAGGGGGGTGTGCTAAGACGACCATGGAGCCTCGATCGCGGAGGCTACACCGCTTCAACACGGATTCAACATTGCGTGTTTGGCAGGACAGCGCCAACCCCGCAGCACGGCGTGCTCAAACGCCAGATCGGTCCCGCTCCTGTCGGGGAGGCACGAACTGTCACTGAGCCCCGACCCTGATCCCGGGGTCGCGCCAGTCAGACTCGCGCAGGGCTTCTGCCGCATAGCTCTCCGCGCCGCAGCTGAGTTCCGCACCGCCGCGCGCCGCGCCGCCGAAGAGCCAGCCACTCTCAGTGCATCCCACCGCGCCGCCGCGCACACACACACACACACGCACAACAAAAATGGGCCAGACGCAGGGCAAGGTCGACGGCGACGCGCAGGCGCAGCTCATGGAGGTGCAGCGCAACTACGTCAACGTGCGCATGGAGGACGTCGACTTCTCGAACCCGACGGCCGTCGACGACGACGACGACGACGACGACGAGGAGGCGGGCGGCCAGGGCGACGAGGCGCAGACCGTCGAGGAGGACGTGCGCTACGAGGCCTACACGCCCCGCGTCGTCAAGATCAAGGGCATGAAGCGCCACCCGAGCGACGCGGTGGAAAACGGCACGCTCGCGACGGTCGCGCCTCCGGCCGTCACCTACGCGCTCAAGCTCGCCGAGGAGCGGCCCAAGGTCGTCAAGGAGGGCCGCCTCAGCGACCTCCAGCTCGAGTTCGTCACCTACGCCTGCCAGCGCCACGACGAGGACCTCGCGTCGGGTGCGCGCGCGGGCTTCTTCCTCGGAGACGGCGCGGGCATGGGCAAGGGCCGCCAGCTCGCGGGGCTCATCCTCGAGAACGTGCTCCAGGGCCGCAAGAAGCACATCTGGGTCTCGACCGGCGTCCCGTGGATTGAGAGATTCGGGGCTTCTCGAGAGTGGGGGGCGGGGCGACGACGAACGACTCGCGCACGCTCGGTAGGTCTCGACGAACATCGACCTCCACGAGGACGCCGCGCGCGACCTCGGCGACGTCGGCGTCGACGAGGTCTCCGTCTTCCAGCTGCCCGCGCGGCAGAAGACGGTCATCAAGCAGGACGCGGGCGTGCTCTTCTGCACCTACAGCGGCCTGAGCAAGGGCTGCTCCGCCAAGTCCATCGAGCGCGGCACGCCCGCGCGCCTCGACCAGATCGTCGCGTGGTGCGGCGGCGAGGACTTCGACGGCTGCCTCCTCTTCGACGAGGCGCACCGCGCGAAGAATTTGATCTCCGAGGTGCCGGGCACGGAGACGGCGGCGGGCAAGGCCGTCTTCGAGATCCAGAAACTGCTCCCGCGCGCGCGCGTCGTCTACTGCTCCGCGACGGCCGTCTCGGAGCCGCGGAACTACGGCTACATGACGCGGCTCGGCTTGTGGGGCCCGCGGTCGCCGTTCCCGACCTGCGAGGCGGACGGCGACGAGAACTCGATGCACGCCGTCAAGAACTTCATCAAGCTCGCGGAGCTCCGGGGCGTCGGCGCCATGGAGATGTGCGCGCTCCACCTCAAGCGCGAGGGCGCGCTCCTCTGCCGCACGCTGAGCTACACGGGCGCGGCCTTCGACGTCGTCGAGGCGACGCTGTCGCCGGAGCAGATCGCCCAGTACGACAAGGCGGCCCAGCTCTGGCAGATCCTCCACACGCGCTGCGAGTCCAAGCTCGCGAAGATGGCGACGATCGCCGAGCACTCGGAGGACGAGGACGGGTCCCTCGCGCGCGCGTACCGCGAGGCGCGCCAGTCCTACCACTCGTCCCTCTGGGGCGGCCACCAGCGCTTCTTCCGCAGCCTCATCACGGGCTTCAAGGTGCCGACGCTCGTGAAGCTCGCCAGGGCCGCGCTCGACGACGGCAAGTGCGTCGTCATCGGCCTCCAGTCGACGGGCGAGGCCCACGCGAAGCGCAACGAGGACCGCAAGCAGGCGGCGCTCAACGGCGACGAGCAGGACGACGACCTGCCCGCCGCGGGCAGCGACATGCTGTCGGCGCCGCAGGAGACGCTCCGCTACGTCGTCCAGAAGATCTGGGGCGACGAGCTGAAAAGCGTGAAGGATTCGATGGCGCGCAAGAAGGCCGCCGCCGCCGAGGCGGCGAAGGCGCCGGCGAAGGCCCACGACGACGGCCTGAGCGACTCCGACGACGACGACGACTGGCTCAAGTCCGCCAAGAGCTCGTCGAAGAAGCAGCCGCTCAAGGTGAAGAACCGCGAGTCGCCGCCGGACAAGAAGAAGCGCAAGACCGAGTCCTCGGAGAAGGCCGCGGACGACGACGTCTGGGGCTTCGACGACTCCCAGGAGTCCGAGGAGGAGATGGACCTCTGCGACGACGACGACGGCGGCGGCCGGACGGGCGACGACGCGGCCGCCAAGCTCCTGGCGGACGGCGTCGGCTGGATCGAGGGCTTCCTCGAGCGCGTCGACGCGCTGGACCTGCCGGGCAACGCGCTCGACGTCATCCTCGAGGAGCTCGGCAACTTCGACGGCGTCGCGGAGATGTCGGGCCGCTCCTCGCGCGTCGTCAAGAACTGGAAGGGCGACTACATCTACCAGAAGCGCACGGAGAACGGCGTGTCCATGGACGAGCAGAACATCTACGAGCGCGAGGAGTTCCAGGCCGGCCGCAAGCTCGTGGCCATCATCTCCGACGCGGCGTCGTCGGGCATCTCGCTCCACGCGGAGAACGCGGCGCGCGTCAAGAACCAGCGCCGCCGCGTCCACATCACGCTCGAGCTGCCCTGGTCCGCGGACAAGACGATCCAGCAGATGGGCCGGTCCCACCGGTCGAACCAGGTCTCGGCGCCCGAGTACAAGCTCCTCGTGTCGCCCCTCGGCGGCGAGCGCCGCTTCTGCGCGGCCGTCGTCAAGCGCCTCGAGAGCCTCGGCGCGCTCACGCAGGGCGACCGCCGCGCGTCGTCCGTGACCAAGGGCTGGGGTTGCTTCAACGTCGACACGAAGGAGGGCCTCCAGGCGGTCCTCGACATCTTCGGCCACAGCAACAACCAGTGCAACCACATGCTGACCATCGGCTCCCTCGACACGCAGAAGCCGCTCGTGCCGCCGCCGAAGCTGCCGCTCGGCGAGCGCGAGGCGCTCGCGAAGGTCTCCGTGGACCACGCGGAGGCCGTCGGCGCGCCGCGCGGCTGGGAGGACTCGCACGGCGGCAAGATCGTCGACAAGATCAATCTGCTCCACGCCGCGAAGCTCTGGCTGTCCCTCGTCGGCATCAACGTCAACGACTACCGCGAGGGCCAGTACACCGGCACCGTCGCCAAGTTCCTGAACCGCATCCTCGGACTGGAGGTGAGCCGCCAGCAGTACCTCTTCGACTACTTCGCGCGCTACCTCGAGAAGACGATCAAGGCGGCCATCCGCGACGGCGAGTACCAGAAGGGCATCACGACCTTCCAGGGCCGCTCCGTCGCCTTCGTCAGCGAATCCGTCGTCGGCGGCGTCCCCACGCCCAGCGCGCACGATCTCGTGATGCACGACATCGCCGTCGACATCGGCACGGACTTCGAGGCCGCCCTCGCGATCCTGAACGAGTCCCGGTCCACGGCCAAGGACCAGGCCGTCGACATCGACGACGACGACGACGACGACGACGCGGGGCGCCGCGCGTCCGGCTCCCACGGCTGGATGTCGACGCGGCGCGGCGGCGCGCTCCGCGTCACGAACGTCTCCGGCGGCACGACGGGCTTCCGGTCGCCGACCCTCGACGGCGACGGCGGCGAGCGCTTCGGCGACCGCGACGGCTTCCGCGTCCTCCCGGAGCGGCAGTGGAAGAAGGGCGGCATCTGCCTCGTCATCGAGGTCGGCGAGGCCTCGATGCGCGGCCTCTCCGTCAAGACCGACAAGTTCATCGTCTACCGGCCGGACCGCATCAAGGAGCAGATGCAATGGCGGGGCCAGGTCCGCTCCGGCGAGCCCAAGACCGACGCGCAGGCGAAGAAACTCTGGGCCGCGGCCTTCGAGGCCCGCGAGCGCGGCCTGAAGGAGCGCCTCCTCACGGGCCCCGTGCTCCACATCTACCCCCAGATCATCCAGGCCCAGTGCCTCCTCGACACCTACAACAGGAACGAGGTCCGCATCGCCAAGGCCGAGGAGCGCGACGAGAACGGCAAGAAGTCCGGCCGGGTCCAGATCGGCGTCATCGTCGACTTCAAAAAGTGCAAGCCCTTCATCAAGGCCCTCCAGGACATCGTCTGCGACGAGGACTCGGAGCGCGCCCAGATGCTCCAGCGCGAGAGCCAAACCTACCAGGAACGCGACCGAGAGCGGCGCGCCTTCGCCGCCTCCGAGCGCATGAAGCAGTAGGCGCGGATCCCCCTGTTCCCCCAAAGGCCGGTAGAATGCCATTACCACAGAGGCCTCTCACAACAACACAGGTGCTTGATCAGAAGTCGGAGTCGTCGTCGTCGTCGCCGCCGCCGTCCTCGTCGTCCTCGTCGTCATCGTCGTCGTCCTCGCCGTAGGTGACCTCCTTGCGCGCGCGGCCCGACGCTCGGCGCTCCTTGGCCGGCGCGGCGTCGCCGTCGTCGTCGTCGTCGAAGGCGAACTCGTCGTCGTCGTCGTCGTCGCTCGCCTTCTTCGGCCGCTTGGCGGCGGGCTTCTTCGCCGGCGACTTCTTGGCCGCCGCGGGCTTCTTCGCCGGCGACTTGGGCTTCTTCGCCGCGGGCGACTTCTTGGCCGCGGGCTTCTTCGGCGGCGGCTTCTTCTTGGCCTCGTCGTCGGACGAGATGAGGTCGACGATCGAGTCGTCGCTGTCGTCCGCCGCGGCGGCGGCCGGCGCCGGCGCCGGCTCGTCGGGCACCTCGAAGTCCTCCGCGGGCTCGTCGTCGTCGCCGCCGTCGCCGTCGTCGTCGTCGCCGTCCGCGTAGCTAATCTCCTTGCGCGCGCGGCCGGACGACCGGCGCGGCGCCGCGGGCGCGGGCGCCTCGTCGTCGTCGTCGCCGTCGTCGTCGTCGTCGTCGTCCGCGGCGGCCGCGCGCTTGCGCTTCTCGCGCGCCTTGGGCGCCGCCTTCTTCCGGGCCTTGGCGGCGCCCGCGCCGCGCGACCGCGCGACCGCGGAGACGCCGAACTCGAAGTCGGGCTCCTCGGGGAGGGCGACGTCGACGGCGTCCTCGCTCTTGGCGCCGGCGGGCGCGTCGACCCAGGCCGCGCCCTCGAAGACGACCAACTTGTCGAAGACGTCGCGCACAGCGAGCGATTCGCCGGTGACCTTGAGCGTCATGAAGTCCTTCTTCGACGAGACGAAGGCGCCCGTCATCACGACGCGGCGGCCGCCGGCGACGTCGAGGTAGAGCTTGGGCGCGCCCGTGTTCATGCCCTCGAGGGACCCGATGGGCCCCGCGCCGAGCGGCGCCACGAGGCCCGGCAGCTGCACCAGCACGCGGTTCTTGCGCTGGCTCTTCTGGTTCTTCACGAGGTCGTTGCTGTCGCACTGCACGAGCGCCGCCGACGGGCCCCGCGGCGCGTTCATCGGTGCTCGATCCCGCTTATGGCGCGCGAGAGCTTCAAATAAAGGGCTCGGACCGTACTTGAAGTCATATTGCAGCCCCGGACCGTCCTTACCGAAACCCCGCGGCCGCGCCGCGGTTGAAGCCCGCGTGGCGGTCGACGGTCGTGATCATGGACGGCGTCGCCGCGCCGTGGCGGTAGAGGGGCCGCCGCGTGTTCCGTTTCTGGAGCTGGTCCGCGGGCTCGTCCGGGTTGCCGCAGGGGTCGCGCTCGACGGCGCGGAGCACCTGGACCACCCGCCGGAAGCCGCGGTCCGCGGCCATGACCAGCAGATTCCGGTCCTGGCCCGCGGCCCGGTGCCACGCGCCGCGGCCGTGGGCGTCGAAGCCGCCCGCGTCGGCGAGGTCCAGCGCCTTCTCGAGGCACGCGTCCTCGCCGTTGCTCGCGTCGCGCAGCGCGGAGAAGCAGTCGGACCAGACTTTTTGCCCGTGCGCCGGGTCGGGCCGCGGCGGCACGCGCTGGTCCGCGTCGAGGTCGAGGCCCAGCTCCGCGGCGAGCGCGGGCCACTCCGCGGCTTTGGGTAGGCCGCGAGGAGCTGCGGCGGCGTCTTCCCGTCGAGGTCGCCGAGCGCGAGGTCCGCGCCGGCGTCGCGCAGCGCCGCGAGGCAGCGCAGCTTGCCCCGGGACGCGGCCAGGTGCGCGAGCGTGCGGCCCGCGTCGCGGCCGTAGCCGTCGAGCCGCCGCGAGTCGACGTGGAGCCCGTCGGGCGACGGGCGCTCCGCGAGCCCCGCGGCGTAGCGCCGGACGGCCTCGGCGCCGAGCACGTCCGGCGCGTCGCGCACCTCGTCCCAGACCTCGGGCCACGTCGGGTCGCCCCGCGGCGGGAGCTCCGCGCCGAGGCGGCCGCGCATCGCCGCGGACCCGTAGATGGCCTCGCGGCCGGGCCGCGGCGGCGGCGGCGGCGGCGGCGACTCCGCCGCGGCGTCCGTCAGGAGGGCCTTCACGTCGCCGCCGCCGTAGAGCCGCGCGGCGCGCGTCGCCGGCGGCGGCGGCGGCGCGTAGGGCCCGTCCGCGAGGCCCGGGTGCCGCGGCGGCGGCGCTCCTTGTTGTGCCGGCGGCGCGCCGTCCGCGGCGCGGTCGACGATGGCGACGCAGCGCGCGTGGCCGAGGTCTTTCGCGAGGGACAGCGGCGTGATCTCGTCGCGCTTCTGGTGCGCGGGCACCGCGGCCGCGAAGGCGTCCGCGCCCGCGTGGAGCAGGAGCGCGAGGCACTGGGGCTTGTCCTTGTAGGCCGCGAGGTGCGCGAGCGTGAAGCCGACGGTCGCGCCGCAGTAGTCGAACCACTCGCGCGTCTCGAGGCGCTTCCGCGATATGAGCGCGGCCCGCTTGTCGCGCGCGTCGCGCGCGCCCGCGCCGCCCGCGGCGACGCGCGCGATCGTGATCGCGTCCTGCCACCGCTCGGACGCGCGCCGCGACGCCGCGGACGGATCCCCCGCGGGCTCCGCCGCCTTGAGCGTGGCCCGGCGGCTCGTGAGGCTCGCCATCTCGCGCATGTTCTTCTCGTCCTCCTCGGAGTACGCGGCGCCGCGGCGGTCCTCGACGGCCGCGGGCCGGTGGTCGAGGTGGAGCACCTCGCGGAGGAGCGCGACGGCGTTCTCGTCCGAGGCGTCCCGGACGGCGGCCCAGGCGTCGGTCCACGTCGGCCGCGTCCGCGCGCCGTGGTCGTGCGGCAGCGCGCGCAGCGCGTCCGCGACCCAGGGCCTCTCGTGCGTCGAGACCCGCTGCCGCGCGACGTGCACCGGCGCGTCGCCGGCCATGTTGCGCGCGCGCGTGTCCGCGCCGCGCTCGCAGAGGGCCGCGACGGCGTCCTCGAGGCCCCGCGCGGCCGCGACGTGCAGCAGCGTGTTGCCCGGGACGGTCATGAGCCCGCTGAGCTCGGGCACGCCCGCGTGGAGCAGGTGGAACTCGGGCTTGGGCTCGCGCGCGAGCGGCACGACGAGGGCCGGCGCGAAGCGCTGGTGGCTCAGGCCGAGCCGCGTCGCCGCGGTCTCGTTCGCGCGGTTCGTCGGCGGGTAGTCGTCGGCCCACGGCGTCCAGATCTCCCGCGACGCGACGGCCGTTTCGCCGGGCGCCGGCGCGGGCAGCGCGCGGCACGCCGCGGCGGCCTCGGCGTCCGTGCCGCCGACCACGGCGTCGACGGCCTCGAGGAAGAGCTCGTCGTCGTTCTTCGGCGGGTGCGCCGGCTTGTCGCAGGGCGCGTCGTCCTTGGCCCGCGCGTTCCAAAAGGCCTCGCTGCCGACCATGGCGCCGCCGAGCTTGTCGCCGAAGACGTGCCGGTCGCCGGCATTGCGCGGCCGCCCGTTCCAGGGCCTGGGGGCGACGCCGGCCATCGCGTTTGTGGGCAGCGCCTCAACCGTCGGTGGGGTACTGTGCAGGGCAATTTTGGCCTGGGGAACTCGGACGGCATGGCCGCTCTCTCTCTTCGAGGGGCCTGTGTGTGATTAGCGACGGTCGATCGGGGTCGTGCAGCGCCGCGCACGCGTCGCCAACGAGCCGGTGATCAATGGCGGACCCGGCGAGCATCACTGCGCACATTCGCGCCCTCGCAAAACCGCAGACGGCGCGGCGGGCCGCGGAAGCGCTGTGCAATTTGACGTTGGAGGAAGCCAACCGAGCCGCCCTCGCCGAGGCCGGAGCCATCCCGTCGCTGATCAGCCTGCTGCGCGATGGTTGTGATGGCGCCAAGATTCAGGCCACCGCAGCGCTCTGTAACATCGCGATAGACGTGGGCTACAAAGTCGTGATCGCCGAGGCCGGGGCGATCCCGCCGCTGATTTCTCTCGTGCGCGCGGGGAGCGCCAACGCGCAGGCGCAGGCCGCGATGGCGCTGCGCACCCTCAGTCTTAACGAGGACAACATGCTGGCCGTTGCATCGGCCGGCGCGATTCCGCCGCTCGTTGCGCTCGTCAAGAACGGTAACGATGTCGGCAAGTCGCAAGCCGCTGCGGCACTGTGGAATCTCTCACTGTCGAATGCTGCCAAAGTGACCATTAACGAGGAAGGCGGACCCGCGGTGCTTCTGGCCCTTTTGCGCGACGGGAGCAAAAACGCAAAGTTTGAGGCGCTCGGGGCCCTGTGTAATCTCTCCAAGAACGAGGAATGCAAGGTCACCCTCGCGGCGACCGGTGCGATCTTGCCGCTCATCGCTGCTTTACGCGACGGTATCAACAAGGTGAGTGCCGCCGGGATACTCTGGCACCTCGCGGTGAAAGACGACTGCAAGATCGACATTGCGACGGCCGGCGGCATTCCGCTCCTTTGCGATCTCTTGAGCGACGAGCACGATGGGACGAAGGATAACGCTGCGGGAGCTTTATATGACTTATCATTCAACGTCGAGATCAAGGTTACCATAAACCAGGCTGGCGGAATTCCTCCACTCGTCGCCCTGGTGCGCGACGGTCCCGACCCCGCCAGGTCGCGCGCCGCGGGAGCTCTCTGGAATCTAGCCGTGAATGATGAGAACAAGGTTGTGATCCACCAGGCCGGTGGCATCCCTCCACTCGTTGCCCTGCTGAGCGTCAGCGGTTTCGGCACGGAGAAGGCGTTCGAGAAGGCGGCCGGGGCGCTGGCGAACCTCGCGCGGATCTCCAACGTCGCGGTCGCTATCGTCGAGGCCGGCGGCATTCCTGCCCTGGTGGCCATCGTGAGCCCGAGCAACAGCCGCGTGGCCAATCAGTGGGCCTCGGCGGCGCTGGTGAACCTCCTCGTATATTTACCGAACTGCGTCACTACAATGCTCGAGGCCGGCGCGGTTCCGCCATCCGTCGCTCTGCTACGCGACGACAACGACACACCGCGGCTACATGCGGCGTGGGTATTGTCGGAAATAAGCAGCTGTGAAGCGGGCCGAGCCGCTTGCGTCGAGGCCGGCGCCCATCCACCTCTCGTCGCCCTTCTACGCGACGATAACGCCGACTGTAAGACGAAAGCCTGCATGGCGCTGCGGAACATGCTCTTGCATAGCGACGACGTCATAGACTCCGTCGTGGCGCTCGGTGCGCTTCCACCGATTATTGCAATGATGGGCGGTAGCGCTGTCAGCTCGGAGTCGGCAGTGAATGCCTTGCGAAACACGTCCGCGACCGAAAAGCATCTGGTCGATATCGTCAAAGCGGGCTGCATTCCGCCGCTGCTCGCCGTTCTGAGCACCGGTAGCAAAATTGCCAAGGAGCATGCCGCTGCTGCGCTACGGAATATCTCCACAGAAGATCAAAACAGGATCTGTATGGCCAAAGCCGGCGCCGTTCCGCCGCTGGTCGCGTGTCTGAGCGACGGTCCCAGCAACGTCGCTATGGAGCACGCCGCGGCCGCGCTTTCGAATCTCGCATTGAATGTCGAAGAACGGCAAGTCGCCATCGCCAAGGCTGGGGGCGTCGCTGCGCTCGTCGCGCTCGAATGGGACGGCAGCGACGCGGTCAAGCGGATGGCTGCGTGCGCGCTGAACAGCCTCACGTGGAAGAACGCCGACAACGAAGCCGCCGTCGCGGCGGCGCGGGCCGTGGCGGAGATCGCCGCCCACAAGGCGGAGATCGCCGCCCACAAGGCGAAGACCCTCGCGCTCGAGCAGCGCATCGTCGATCTCGAGCGCGCGCTCGAAGAGCGGACCGCGCGCGACGACCGCCTTCGGCTCAGCCGGGACGAGCTCCAGGCGCGGATCGGCGAGTTCTCGCGCGTTTTGAACCGCCCCAACGCCCACGGCGTCCTGGCGCGCGCCGAGGCGGGCGCCGTGCTCTCCGACCTCCGCGACGAGGCCGCGGAGCTCAAGGCGACCCTCGAAGACGCGACGAGTTGTGTCGTTTGCTTCGGCGCGCCGCGTTCCGTCGTCCTCCACCCGTGCACGCACGCGTGCCTCTGCCCCGCCTGCGCCGCGAAGGTCGAGTCGTGCCCCGCGTGCAGCGCGCCCATCGCGCGCCGGAGCGAGTTTATACTGTGGTAGCGTTAGAGCAGCGCGCCGTCGCGGTCCTTCTCGAGGTCCTCGCACCGCTTGGTCAGCGCGGCGACGCGGGACGAGTGGAAGTCGCGGTCCTTCTTCGCGGAGGCGCGCGCGGCCTCGAGCTCGGCCTCGAGCTCGTCGACGCGGGCCTGGAGGAGCTTGTGCTGGGCGCCGTGGTAGGCCGCGTCCGCCGCGAGGCGCGGCGCCTTGGCGGCGGGCGGCTCCGCGGGCTTCGCGGACCGCGCGCGCCGCGCGTCGACGATCTCGACGGCGAGCGTGCGGCCGTCGTAGGTGCGGCTCGCGAGGGAGGCCGCGGCGGCGGCGGCCTCGCGGGCGTCGTCGAACTCGACCCAGACGCGCTGGCTCGCGACGCGGGGCCGCGGCACGACGACGGACCGGATGGTCCCGAAGCCGCCGCAGGTCGCGCGCGTGTCCTGCTCGACCTTGCGCGCGTACTCCTCGAGCTTGGGCGCCGCGTCGAAGAGCGCGTCGACGGCGATGCCCCGGCCGTCGCCGACCGCGGGCTTGCCGTCGTCGCGCGACCGCCGGGACTCGGACCGCGAGCCGTCGCGGCTCCGGGACCGCTTGCGCCGCCGCGCGGGGCTCCGGCTCCGGCTGCTCGACGAGCTCGCGCTCCGCCGCCGCCGCCGCCGGTCGCGCGCCTCCGCCTTGACCTTGGCGGCGCCCGGCGCGGGCGCCGCGGCGGGCGCGGGCGGCGCCGCGCCCGCGGTCCGCGCGAGGTTGCTGCACTCGACGTTGAGCGTGCGGCCGTCGACGACGTGGGGCGCGCCGCCCAGCGCCGCCGCGGCGTCGCGCGCCGCGGCGAAGCGCACGAACGCGAAGCCCTTGGACGCGCCCGTCGCCCGATTCGTGACGACGTTCGCGTCGACGACGGCCCCGAAGCGCGAGAAGTACGCGACGAGGGGCTCCGCCGACAGCATGCCCAGGGACAGGCCGCCGACGAAGATCTCGTGCGAGCCGCCGCTCGCGGCCGCGGCCGCGGCGGGCGCGGCGGGCGCGGCGGGCGCGGCCGGCGGCTTCGCGAGCTCGACCCGCAGCCGCCGGCCGTCGAACTCCGTGCCCGTCATGGACAGCGCGGCCTGCGCCGCGGCCTCCGTCGCGTAGTCCACGAAGCCGTAGCTCGCGGGACCGTTCTGCGCGATGAGCCGGATGTCGACGATGGTGCCGAAATGCCCGAAGATGGAGCGAAGCATGTCGCCGTGGATCGCCGGCGACAGGTTGCCCACGTGGATCGTGTAGAAGGGCTGCGGCGCGCTGTGCGCGGCGCCGCGCAGCATGCTCGCTGTGCTTGCGCGAGCGCGGTGCTCGCGCTGCAGCTCTCGCTGCGGTCGAGGCCTTGCTCGAGCTCGCGAGATGCTCGCGGATCGACTCGGCACTCGGCGCTGGGCGGCGGCGGCGGCGCCGGCAGGGCTGCCGGCCGACGTCGTCGTCGGCGCCTCGGACGCCTCAGTAACCCCTCCGCACTTCGGCGCCCGCCCCGCCCCAAAAAACGAGCAACACCGGCGTCATATACTCGCGGAGTTGTGGACCTCGCCCGGCGCGCCGGAGAAGGGCGCGAGGTCCGTGTTCACGGGCCACCACTGGGACGTGGACCGGAGCTCGGGCTCCGCGGCGTCCAACCCGTCGTCGGGCGGCGGCGGCCGCGGCGTCCGGTCCGCGTGGCCCGCGACGAGGGGCTTGGGCCGCTTCTTCGGCGACCTGCGCCGCGGCCGCGGCGCGTCGTCGCCGTCGCCGTCCGGCGGGACCGCGGGCGGCCGGCCGCCGCCGCGCGCCGCGGGCTTGCCCGCGCGCTGCTTCCGCGGCGCGGGCTTCTCGGGCGAGGGCTTGGGCACGGGGCGGCCGTGGCGCGGCTTGGGCACGCGGGGCACGGTCTTCCTGTGCGCGAAGGCGCCGCCTTTCGCCTTCTTCTTCTCCGCGGCCTTTTTCGCCTCCTCGGCCTCGTCGACGACGCCGCCCCAGCGGTTCCGCGCCGCGGGCGGCTCCGCCGGCGCCCGGCGCATGTCCCGCGGCCGCCGCGGCGCGTCGCCGCGGGGGCCCGCGCCGTCCTCGAAGTCGGGGGCCGTCGAGCTCCGCTGGCCGAAGGACCGGTCCGGCCCGCGGCGCGACTGCTGCGACCGCGCGCGCGACGCGTCGCCCTCGGAGGCGTCGCCGTCGCGCTCGCGCGTCCGCTGCGCGCGCCGCGCGTCCGCCGTCGCGCGCGCGGGCCGCCGCCGCGGCGGCCCGCGGCGGCCGCCGTCGCGCTTCTCGTCCTCGAGGTCCGCGAGCTTGTCCTTGAGCGTCTCCTGCTCCGCGAGGAGCTGGTCGTACATGGTCTGCAGCTTGTCGACGGCCTCGTGGGACCGCCGGCCCTCGGGGCTCGGCGACCGCGACACGCGGCGGCCGCGCCGCGGCGGCGAGTGGTCCTCGAGGCCCGGGATCGGCCGCCGCCGCGGGCCGTCGCCGCCGTCGTCGTAGTCGCGGCGGCTCCGGTCGCGCCGCAGGTGCGGCGGCGTCGCCGCCGGGTCGTCGTCGAAGTCGTTCCGGCTGCGGTCGCGCTCCAGGTGCTCCGGCGTCGCCGCGGGGTCGAAGCCGCGCTTGCTGTTGTCGCGCTTCAGATGCTCGGGCGTCGCCGCCGGGTCGAAGCCGCGCTTGCTGTTGTCGCGCTTCAGGTGCTCGGGCGTCGCCGCCGGGTCGAAGCCGCGCTTGCTATGATTCCGTTTCAAATGCTCGGGCGTCGACGCCGGGTCGAAATCGCGCTTGCTATGATTCCGTTTCAGATGCTCCGGCGTCGCCGCGGGGTCAAAATCGCGCTTGCTATGATTCCGCTTCAGATCCTCGGGCGTCGCCGCCGGGTCGAAATCGCGCTTGCTATGATTCCGCTTCAGATGCTCGGGCGTCGCCGCGGGGTCGAAGCCGCGCTTGCTATGATTCCGCTTCAGATCCTCCGGCGAGTCGCGGTCGTCGAGGCCCGGCACGGGCCGGCGCCGCGGCTCGTCGCCGCCGCCGTCGCGGCGGCGGCGGTCCCGCGAGCCGGTCCGCTTCTCCTCCGTCGGGTACTCCTCGCCCTCGTAGTCCGGCACGCGCTTCTTCCGCCGCCGGCTCTTGCCGTCGCCGCCGTCGCGCCGCGGCGGCGGGTGCTCGCGGCGGAGGTACTCCTCGTACTCGGCGGCGTCCTGCTCGTCCTCGCGTTTCTTGGCCTCCTTCTCCTTGTCGCGGCGCTTCTGGTCCGCGCGGCGCTGGCCGTCGAGGAGCCGGCGGAACTCGAGCTCCTTGGACCGCTTCTTCTCCCGCTCCTCGTGCGACGGGCCGTTCATCGACGCGAGCGCGGACATGTAGAGGCCGCCGGCGTCGTCGTCGCGCTTCGGCGACGCCAGGTAGGGCAGGCTCACGCCGCCGCCGTCGGACGTCGGCGCGACGCGCTTCCGCTCGGACCGGCGCGGCGGCGTGCGAGACGCGGACCGGCGCGGCGGCGTGCGAGACCGGCGGCCGCCCGAGTGCTGGGACGCGGGCGACGGCTCCTCCTCGGGCTGCCGGGGCCGCCGGCGCCGGTCCCGCGGCGGCGTCGCCGCCGGGGACCGGTCCCGCGACCGCGGCTCGCGCCGGTCGCGCGACCGGTCGTCGTCGTCCTCCGGCGCGGCGCCGAAGACCGCGCGCTTCCGCAGGCGCCGGTCCCGCGCCTCGATGAGGTCCGCGGCGTCGCCGGCCTCGAGGCCCAGCATCTCGCGCTCCTTGATGAGCTCCGCGTTCGCCTGGCGCGCCGCGGCGGCGCGCGACCGGTTCTGGTCCACCATCTGCGCTTCGAGAAACTCCTTCTGCTGCTGCTTCTTCCGCTGCGCCGCCGCGCGGTCCGCCTCGCTCATGCGCAGGAAACTCATGGCCGCGTGGTTCTCAGCGCGCCGGTCGCATCCAGGGCGCGCGCGCGCCGGAACCGACGTCCAACGATGGGCGGGGGCAGCCCTCGAGCCGCGGTTAGCCAGCTTTTAGATGTGCAAGGAGTTCGAGTTGCGGCTCAAATTGCCACACCAAATCGCGCGCCAACCCAAGCCGGCCACCTCGTTCGTCGCGCGCGCCCGCAACGACCGTCAAAACCGCCCCGACTCGTCGCGCGCGCCCGCGAAGAACCTCGCAGCCGGCCCGACTCGTTCGGTCAAGCCGCCGGCCGCCTCACACCAGCAGAGACGCGCCGACAAAGCAAACGATGAAACTCATCCGCGCCCTCTGCGTCCTCGCGGCCGCCGAGGCCTTCGTCGCGCCGACGCCGCGCCGAAACCCGTACGCGACGCTCGCGGCGACGTCGCAGCAGGCCGACGCCGGCAAGGACGAGAAGGCCGCGAAGCTCCCGACGATCGTCGACGGCGGCCACCCCATGTTCGGCAAGAAGCTGAGGGTGCGCGGCGCGAAGATGTCGCGGTCCGGCGCGGACCGCTTCAGCAACCTGCGCTGCTTCGCGGAGCCCGGCGACCCCTACGCGTCGCCGCTCAACTACCTCCTCGCGCACGGCGACGAGGTCACGTGCCTCGACTTCAAGGACTTCGCGGGCCAGACCTGGGTCATGCACGAGGTCGACGAGCGGCTCCGGGGGCTGACGAAGGACGGCGCGCCGCCCGCGGCGGGCACGTACCTCGCCTGTC